ACGATCAAATCCAGCTGCAGGTCTAATAAGGACACTAGCAATTTGAGTTTGCGACGCATGTCAATACAAAGAGGTTTGCATGAGAGATGCGTTTTTCTTCTTCAGGTAATCTTTATTTGGGAGGGACGCTCGATTCATAGGTGGGCCCTAGATTTAGTCCAGCGGGGGAGAGTCGCGAAGCGGCTCCTCCCCCGCCGGCTGAGTGGGGAAAATAAAAAATCAAGTAAATGGCAAACTAGCAGAAGTTCCTGAAGATCTAATAAATGCCTTCAGACTAAAAAGCTACCCAGTCTCCGGAAACATCCAGAAGTATCGGACGAGACGGTAGAAACGTGTTGTGTCGCTGGAGATCTTGTCTTAATGCCAACATGCAAACGTACATTCTGGATACGGTAGGCAGAAATCAAAAAAATGCTAATTAGCACGAAAAAAACCTTATTTTCATAGCTTTGAATAAAATCAACATTTCCCCCTGTAAAATGAACTATTTAGGCAGCAATGGTAAGAATAGAAGCTCCAGAAGATTTGGATTCAACACCCGCTTCGTCCAATTCGATAGAGGAGACGACAAATATCAGCCCCGAGGAGTTGTTCTCGGATCTGATGGCTCGAGTTAAGCAGGAGGTAACTAATTTTGCTTTTTGGAGTCCCTGAAGTGCCTAAATTTGACTCCATATCCACTAAAATTAACGAAGCTTGATCAAATCAATGCATTACGACCTGACATTTTCCTAAAAACAAGCTAAATCTATGCATTACGATAGGAAATCCATGAGAGAACCTTGCAAAAATATACTTTTTAGCCGGTCGACGACTACGAGACGGTAGAAAACGAGCTCGCACCGGTCATACCACAACCGGAAATCGTAGAAGCGAAACCCGAAGCCGAGGAGCCCAAATCCGGACGATTGACGCGGAAACGAAAAGTGAAAGAGTCGCCTCACCTGAATTTAAAAAAAAAAAAAAAAAAAATAAAGTTTATTCTATCAAATTATTCGTCGCGGAATCAATAAAAACGACAGAAAAGGGCGAGTTCGGGACCGATCAAAGTGTGGCTATTTGCTACAGAAAAATTCGGGAAAATTGCGGTGCAAACGCGGCATTTCCATAACATTTTGGTGGTATTTTGATTGCGCGATTTGTCTTTCGTCGAGGACAAACCGGTATACGGTGTTCCTGGGGGCCAACACTACGCCACAATCCCATATACACCCCTATCCGGTGCGCCCTCGGCGATCCAACAGCCACCATGGTCTCTTCGGATGGGGCCCCGTCGACCCCTTGACAACCTGTACTACAAAAGAACAACGTTTTAACTATAGAAAAGCGCAGTCTATAGATATATTTATAATTTTTATATGCATCAAATTATTTTTTGTAAAGTGTTTGTAAATTTCGGTGAAACTGAAAAATCACCTAACAACTGCTGTATGAAAATTTAGTTCTAGGTAAAGCTGGTAATTCACAATCATGATTTAATACAAATATAAGGATTTTAAAATTAACTTGCTTATTTATTGCGCTTTCCTTTCAATTTGAAGTTGTGAAAATCAAGTGAAAATTCACTATAGCAGACAAAAGATCAATAAAACATGCATTTTAATGTTTTTTTACAACCTGGAAAAATAGATAAGTTAATCAGTCTGTTTTATGTATGAAATTAGTACATTTTTTCTCATAACGTAAAAGCGCAAAATTGCTTCTATAAAACTTCCAGCCGCTGTAAAATGATGCATTTTATGCTGCTCTTTTCACGACAAGGCAAATTGCGATTGCAGAAGTGGTATTCGCCGTATTTAGATAAGGTATAATATCAACCAATTACGAAATATTAATCTATCTCTAGCAAAAGAAGAAAATTTGTTTTGAGCTGATCACGCAAATTCTGGCGCGAAAGCCGAAAAATGTGCGCTTTTTGGAGTATCTGGGGTTAAATATGGGAGCGTCGTTCGATAAAAGGTGGGCAATGATTCTAAAGGCTTTTTTTCTAGCTTGCCAGCCTTATCGTAATATCAAAATGGCTAAAATAATTAAATTTAGATACGCCTCGCTATATTTCCTGGTTTCAGGTGCTGTGGATGATGATATAGAACGAATTCAATTACACTGAAGTTATCCACCGGATACGTTGAGCCATCAACAAATATTTTAGCTCTGTAAGTTTTTTTTGCAAACCACGGTATCGATTACCGTAATTACTGTATTTTTTATTTACGGATTACCGTATTAATACGATAATTATCCCCCCCCCCCCCCCCCCCCCCCCCCCCCCCCCCCCCCCCCCCCCCCCCCCCCCCCCCCCCCCCCCCCCCCCCCCCCCCCCCCCCCCCCCCCCCCAAAAAAAAAAAAAAAAAAAAAAAAAAAAAAAAAACCCTTTAAAATACATTATTTTTATCTAAAAATTCTTTAAAATTTAGCACTCCTGTTAATGCATTAGATTATATATTGGTGCTGAGATTACGAGAATGAATACGGTCATTCAAACCACAAAATCACCTTTAGGTCTGCGAGCTCGACATCATTTTCAACTACGAGAAGGCCTATTTTATCTTGGATGAATTTCTGTTGGCCGGCGAAGTGCAGGTAATTTTTAAAATTTTTCTTCTACCTTCCTTTAAATTGTACATACCTCAAAGTGATTTTTTACATAATGAAGATGAATTTATGAAAAATGGATTAAAGTTGGCTTGTTTCAGGAAAACCAGCAAAAAGCAGATCCGCAACATCATCATGGCCCAGGATCAGCTGCAAGAGGCCGAGACACCCACAACGGGATTTGTTCGGAATATCCACGGGCTGGGATAACGAAACTGAACGTTATTTAAATTATTTAAATTAATTGCCATAAACCCGGCTTTCGAAATAATAATGCCAAAGGTAGCATCGGAAATTTGATGTATTTATTTATTCCCGCCATTTTTCGAAAACTCTGCATTTTCCAGGTTCCCCCCAATTTTGTGATTCATTCCTGTTTACCCGTTTCGATACTATACTCGTGTATCTTAGTGTGCAATTGGCAAAGTTAAATATGAGATTAGATGGATTAGAATGACTGGGGATTTTCGCTGTCCTGTCTGTTCTGCTGTCCGTCTTTCTATCCGCCCTCACTTCTATCTCCCTCTTCATTTTTCTAGCTTCTCCTCGCCTCTTTCCCCATCCTGCATACCAATTGTCGAAATGTGCACCCCAAAGCCCCAGGCCCCGATTTGCATGCGGCCCGGATCCCATGGCCAGATGGGGCCCATTTTGGGGGAGGAGAGAGAGAGAGAGAGAGAGAGAGAGAGAGAGAGAGAGAGAGGGAGAGAGAGAGAGATGAAAACCGAATCCTTAGAAAAGCCCTTTCCTCTCTTCCCAAAGGATTGAGCCCCTCTCTTCCTTCTATAGAAAATTGGTCTCTTGGGCCTCTGGGGTGGGCCACTACCAACAACCCTTGCCACAACCACGAATACACCCCGAAATTTGTGGGTTTTTCCTGGAAACTGCCAACTGGTAGCCAAGGTACGGTTTTCATACAAAAAATAACGGAAATATTTTTATTTTTTTGCCGGATTGAGTGCAGTATCTAGGTCATTTTTGAAGGTCGTCTGAATCCAGCCAAATTTTCATTTTTTCGGGTTGTTTTCGAGCTTTTTATTTTTTAAGCGTCAAACTGGCAGCCAATATATCGTATTCTTACACTATTATACTGAAAAGTCAGTTTTCAAAGCTTGAGTACGGTACCTTGGGCAACTTTTCGCGGATTTTCGCAAATTTCTATTTTTGGGCTTTTTAGCTGCACATTTTCAGACATTCCTTCTCATCCTTGCCTTCCTGAAGTGACTGACAAGCCAAAACCCATTTTCCCACATTTCTTGGCCCACGGAAAGTGAGAGGCTTGTCGTAATTAGTTTCGGCGCGGAAACGCGCAAATTCACTCACTTGTCAGGATCGGCCGCGATAGAAGTGTTTTTTTAAGTTTATGGATTTCGGATTTGTTTTCTGGCTTACAGTTAACTGAAAAAATCTTACTTAAAAGGCTTAATCGCGGATTTCATAGCGTAATCGAATGATTTTGCCCGAAAAATGCAAATTTTGTCATTTTTTTGCGATCTTATTTTGGAATTTTTGAGTAGTTTTTGACTTGCCGGTGTCTTCAAAAGGCATTATAGAACGTCGTACAATCACCATGATATGCAAATTTTTAATTTTGGCTGGATGTCGTAGCGTAATCCGATCGTAGTTTCATAAAAACCGTAGATTTTGAGTTGATTTAATCTAATTTTTGGGATTTTTGACATTGGGGGGCTTGCCTAAATTCAATAATGCCTAAAAACTCGTAAAGCGCACGGAATACGCTAATTAAGCCCAAAATTACCCCTCTGGCCGGTCGAATCGTGGTCACTTCTCCATGATGAATCTTTTCCCACTACCGACCTCCCCTTTCACAGCTTACTGAGGCCGGGTCGAATGGATGGAACACCGAAGAAGAAGCAATTGTACTCTCGCTCTCTCTCTCTCTCTCTCTCTCTCTCTCTCTCTCTCCGTCTCACTTTCATCTCTCGCTGGCCCTCGCCCAAATTGAGTTGTTGCTCCCCTCGGTTCTGCATAGCACGTCCAGATTTGGATGGCCCCAAGGTGGAACGCGTCGTACTCATTTCTCTCTAGCCTTTCTGCTCTTCTAGAAATTCCTAACGGTTTTTTGCTAGCAGCTAGCTAGGTTTTTCTAGTAATTTTGCCGGCTTGCTATTTACTGTTCAAACTCTCTGCTACATCTGCTCATAAAGATTAGGCCGCCTTTCCCTATTGATCTCTGCTGGACCGGCAGCGTCTCAGCGGTGTCGTTTTTATTACTTTTCACCTCCTAAATGCTCCTGATCACATTTTAATCTATCCGCCCTAATTCCAATTCAAATTGTTCGCAGCCAGGCGTCAAAGCCATCCGTTAGTTACCGCGTTTTTTTTTATCTGATCGTACATTCCGAACTGTCCTGAATCGTCCCCATGGATCTTTGCTAGTTTGCCCCGTTTATTTCAGAAGGCTTTTTGCTAGTGCTCCTAGCCATTTTTGTTTGATTTTAAATTCATAGACGTCTTCTCCAGCAGTTTTTCGTCGCCTTGCGAAAATGTCACCACTTCGCAAAGGACCGCTGCTAGATTGCGTAGCTTTTTCCCCAACTGGTATCCACTAGGCCGTCTATATTTTCCAAAATTTTCCCTCAACCTACCTTCGAATCCAACGTTTCCGGATTATCAAATGATCCCTGCTAATTGGTCTCTGTGATTTTTGCCCTATTTTCGATTCCCAAATGCTCTCTGCTAGTCAGCCCACAATTTTGCAAATTTTTTTCGCTTCCCCTACAATTTCGACATCCCCATTTCCCAAATGATCCCTGCTGGCCTGCCTGGCCAATTTTGCCTTAATTTTGCGGCCAAAATATTCTCTGCAGCACTTTCCCAAATTTCCTCCAGCCCTGCCCTCCAACTCCGGATTTTCCTTTCCCTCTGCACCCCAAAATTTCCGGCCTCGCGGGTCCCTCTTTTCTCGACTCTGCTATTTTGGCAGGAATGAAATATATCTCTCCCTCGTTTCAGATAGTGTGAAAACACGAGACAGAGACAAGAGAAACAAGAGAGAAACACCCCAGAATATAGCCCCAGGGCACACGAAACAAAGCCGACAAGTGAGGGAGCACGAGAAGAGGAGAGAGAGCGGAGAAAGAGGCGGCCATCGATGGATGCCCTCCCAGGGGATGAGGAGAAGCCGAAGGGGAAGGGCCCAGTTGAGGCCCAACCACAGGCCCAACCACCACACCAACCAATACAACCAACGGCACCACAACTCTTGAGGGTTTCCCGCATGGATACGTCAACAGTATCCACGCGCAGGTAAGTTTTCGATTTTTTTGAGAAGTTTGTGCGATTTTCTGGATGTCAGTTTGTGGATTAAAATTTTTTGTGTAGCCCATCATTTGTAATTTGAGATTTCCTATCCTATAAGCGAGAAAAGTATGTCTGTTTTCTGTAATGACGATATCGGCCGCCAGGCCGAATTTCGAGCTGATTTTGGTGATATTCCAGCTCCTTGGAAGTCAGTTTTTGGTGCTCTTGAAAAACTTCAAAGTGAGCTTTTTATTTCTTTTTAGAATCACCTTTTAGCCTATGGGTTGTGTTTGTCGATTGGAACCGTCTGAAAAATTCTTAAAAAAAGATTCGTCATTGCTAAAGGGTCATTGTTTTTGTCTTATCTGAATTACAGTTTGCGTTTCTTCTAGGTACTTTTTGCGTTTTTTGGTAGTTTGGTCTACTAAATTCTGTAGTCAAACATAAAAAATAGCACTTTCTTAAGTTGAGCTAACAATAAAGTTCTTCGATGTCCATTTGACAATAACCCTTCTGAAAGCAATTTTAATTTTTTCCGAGTTTTTGGATGTCAGTTTGTCAGTTAGCGACTTGATGAGAAATTTGCAATCTTTTAGGAGAGACTAAGGTCTGTCGTAGCCTGCTAGATGGATCCAAAAAACGCAATTATAGATAGTGGAATTTTCGTGAACTTTCTTGATGCCGGTTGATGGGATTGCGGTGGTGTTTTTTAGGAAAAAAGCTCGCGAAATTCGCCGCTAAGTGCGAAATGCTACGCTCGGATTTTACGCTTATTTTGGCGTTTTCCAGTCCGCCGCTAGCCAACCGCTAATATGCTATGCATATGCAACAATGCGATTCTGTCAGTTGGTCCCCGAAAGCCGCTGTCTTTCGTTGATCAACCCATCCGTTTGTCTGCCCGTCTGTCGGTCCGTCAATTTCTTTCTCGACTGCTTTTGAATTATATTCTTTTTCAGTGCCTCTTCTGCCCTGCGTACTCGATCTCAAGGACCAAGGCGGCCAAAAACAGCTGCAAATGGGACGGCACCACCGCAGAAACCACAGCGTAGCAATGTAAGTTTTTCAACGGATATTCAATCTCCTTAATTTTTCTTGCGATTTTCTAGGAAATTCATGTCTCAAAACTTGCCGAAAGAACGTTAAAAAAATGCCAAAATTCTTCGAAAACGTCATTATCCGATTACGACATGCAGTCCCATAACGAACAGGATTATCGTCACTAAATTGAAGGAAATTTTTTTATAGATTATGATAGATTGAAAATCGCTAAATTTTTGGTCCAACTGATTAGACATTTAATTCCCCAACAGGATCAAGGCGTTCGCGTAGAAAAAATAGAAATGGCATACCGAAAAAACGCCAAAATTGTTTTAATCGATTACGCTATGTGATTCAAGTCTTCGTGATTAACAGGTTGCTTTTGGGACCACCAATCGGATGGTAAGAGACATAAAAAACACTGAATTGATGAGTTTTTTTCTGTTTCACTGACTGACTCAATGAAATTTCGAAAGAATGTCAAATTCCACCAAAAATCGATACCCCGACACTGAAACCCACATTCACCTAGCACTGAAAAATGAATAATTTATTGCCGGGCTGGTTGCTATTGTTCTCTCTGTCTCTATTCCATGTCGATATTTCCAGAGTGCCACCCGGCTTCAGGTCGAGCAGAAATTGCGCAGCCAGGCGGAGGATGCACGCAAAAGGTATGTGGACAAATAGGAGAGAGTCGTATGAGCTCGAGCAAGATTAAAACGACGTCTAAAGAGCGATTTTTATGGCAAATATGAATCTTCAAAGATGATTAGGCCGACTTAAAAATGCTTTTATTATCTTTAATCTTTAAATGTATCTTTACAATCTCCAAAAAATCCGGAAAAATTGCTCGAATTAGGTCGAATTAAAATAGAAAAAACTCGAATTCGCGCATAGGGTTGGAAGGCGCGATCTGACCTTATTCAACTGTTTTCAGGGAACAAGCCGATGCCGCGTTTGTGGAATGGTTGAAACGAAAGCTTAATGCACCGAGAGAGCCAAGGTGCAGTCCAAGCAGGTCCGTTTTTTAAAAAAATTGCTTGAATGTAGAAAATCTAGAAGAAACTAGCCCTCACCGGCTTTTTAAATGAACCAGGTAACTCGAGAATCGACCCCCAGGTTCGATTGGGTTTAGACAGCTACGGGGCGAGCCTATTTTTTCTCTGCCGTTTCTCGGCGTCTAGGAAATCAGTTTGAACGCGTGACTTGGTTTTTGGCGATGCTGTCTAGCCCTAGCACCGGCAAATGTTCGATTTTCCGACGTTATAGTTCCCTTAAAAAGTGAAAATGCCAAAATAGTGCGTTTTTAAGTGCATTTAGGTTAAATTTGGCGTCTTTTTTATCGCATGAAGTTCAGCAATAACTCAAAATTTTTGGTTCCGAGTTCCTTTAAAAGCTCGTTAAAGGGCACGTTCAGGGAAAAAATTTTTGGGATTTTGTTCAGGGATTTTTTTTTGGAAAAAAGCAAACATTTTTGCCGCGGCCGGGGGTCGAACCCGGGCCCCCCGCTCGGGAGGCGCGGATGGATACCAGTCAGCCACAGCTACAACCTGGCGCCCCACGCCACAAAGGAGGGGAATTGCCTCTCACAGCACCGGCAGGCAGTGCGCGCGGTCCCCACGTCCATAAAAATTATACACGTTGCGACGGCGGCCACGGCCCCTCCCCCTGAACGTGCGCTTTCAACGCTCGAATTAAAACCAATCGATTTTTTAATGAGAACAAATCGCCACGTACGCCAAGGAAGACGCAAAGCAGCGCGTGCTAAATAATTGGCACGCCAAGTTCCCGCGATCGAAATCGAGGACCCATTTTGGGACTGAGGGAACGATTCGCTACGATGCGACACTATAAAATTGATTATTGGTGATTTAGTTCGGCGATAAAATCATCAATTAAGTACGAATGAAAGTTTCTTTTAAAAGTCCGTCGCGATTGTTTTTGATAATTTTTGAGCCCTGTTTTCTTTCCCTCTACCAGTCTCTACAGGTACAAACATTTTCTGAGTTTTATCCTGCTTTTTTACCAAAAAAAATCCTCAAATTTTGTGATTTTTTGCCAATTTTCTGGCCGCAAATATCCACCGAAGATCTCAATAAATTTATTTAGGCGTTGAATTTCTTTGTCACAATTATTTTATTACGTCGTTTAATAAATCCTTTTTCTTAAAGCGTCCATTTTTATTCATAAATTCGGGTATTCAGGGAATTCTACGGTGGTTGGGGTGACATATAGGGTGTAGCCATCACGGATATTCACATCAAACAGTTGGATGTTGTCTTTTAGCTCCGTTACTAAAACTATGATGAAATTTAGTGATTAAACTTTAAAGGATTTAACTTATATAACGGTATAAAACACCCTATTTTCTACATGGTGTCCCAAAAAAACGAACCATCTGGCATTTCGCCGTGTTACATCCAATCGGCCCCAAATTTGGACCAGAGGTGTATCAGACCCTAAATAACAACAATCATGACTTTTAGTCCCGTAGCTACAGTCGTTCTCGAGTTATAACGACAAAAAATGCTTTTCCCGAAATTCTGGACAGTTTTTTCGGCTATCTTTTTGGACTTAGCATCGATTTGCATCGACTTCCGGCTGCGAATCCCTAATTTCGCTTAAAGAGATGAGGACGGCATCTGTTGAACCCCCCTTGGGCAGGGGGGATCAACAGGTCCCGCGGCGAGAGAGGGCGCCCAGGGAAGAGGCGCAGAGATATTTTCTTTCCCTCGCGTAATCGATTGACTTATGCCGCCCTTTAAGAACTTGGGTAATTTTGCATTGAAATTTATTTAATTAATTTTTTTCTGGAAAAAAATTTTTAAGGTAAAGGAGGCCTTCCGGATCATTTTGACTTAATGTTTAGGGGATTTATTTCCACGAAAACCCTATGCAAAATGGAAAATAAAGTTTGTTTTTGCTATAACTCGAGAACTACTATAGCTACAGGGCTATATTGTTATTATTTAGGGTCTGATACACCTCTGGTCCAAATTTGGGACCGATTGGATGTAACACGGCGAAATGCCAGATGGTTCGTTTTTTTTGGACACCCTGTAGTAAATCCAAACCCAAACCCAAAAACTCGCCTCCGAAAACGACCCACATCTCGTCGGGCGGGATCTTCGTCTGGTGCATGACGGCATTCTGAAAACAAGCAATTAATTTTCGTGTTTAGTTCCAATTGTAAAATAGATTTTGTTGATTAATTATAGTAGGTTAAATTACGAACAAAAGACTAAATAAATTGTGAAAAAACAAACCTTAAAATCGCCAACGGTTGCTCCCTCCTCGACATCAACATAAAATGTATGGCCGGCCCAGCGCCGCGATTTGTTATAGACAATAGCTTTTAGATTCCTAAACTGAATTTTGCTGGATTTTTATTAATGTAAACGGCTATTTTATTTATTTCAAATGAAGCTGCAAAAATTGAAAACTGCTAAATTTGAAGACTACTTACATTTAAAAGAATTGAGCGCAGCAAATCGATCGGCAAGAATCGTAGGAAAGGCCTGGATTTCCACAGCGGGCTGGGGGCTCGCAATTGGCTTCAATTTCGCACCACTGCCCTAGTTTTATTCCCTCCAATCGAAGCCGACGCACCATGAACGAACTCTCCCTCAATGGTAGTTGTGTCTCAAGGGCGGGAAAAAGCAAGCTGAAGGTTCCTTTTTCTAAAAATTATTATAAAGTTGCACTAAAATTTAGAAACCTTATCCTTTTTACGAATACATATGTTAGCACACCCTACATTTCCAGGTGTTCCTCAAGAACGTCATCCGCGACGCCGTCATCTACTGCGAGCACGCCAAGCGCACGTAGGTCCCCGCCATGGACGTCGTCTAGCTCTCTAGCGCCAGGGCACGACTCGCTACGGATTGGGAGGCTAATTACTGTATTTGCTCTGTGATTTTGTATTTTTTGTATCTTTTTACTTTCTCGATCACCAGCTTCATCATCGGTTCAAAATTTTTTGTTTACTGTCATTGCGTACGAGAGCCTGCTTGGAAAACGTTTTTTAGTTGAATAAATACTGATTTCTCTACCAGCGCCCAAAACCCGCTTCGCGGGCCTTGGGCGCTGGAATGCGGCCTTTGCATGAAAAATTTGACTTTCCGATAGCCCGGGTCCTGCGGATCCCCTCCCCCCGCCCCCGACCAAACCCGCGAGTGCAACTGGCCAGAATGAGTGAATTTGTATTTTTTCACATTATGCAAATTAGCCCTCCTGGACCCCCAAAAATGAATAAAACCGGCTTTAACTTTGTAAACTTGTATGTTATCGAAATTCTGAAAGCGCCATCGGAAAGAGAGGGTCGATTTCCCCCAAGTGACGGAAAAATAGCGCTTTTATCCAGGGGACGGTCCTTAAATCAGGCCTTGAAAGTGACATCCACATACACGCAAAGATACGCGACCAAATTATCTAAGGTAGGATAGGTTCTTTTAAATGCAGGATATTTTACAGTATACCCCACTTGGAAAAGCGGCAAAACATGATAAGGGTCAGGGTGTTGAAAACAGTCGAGAAAATCGATGGGCATCTGGTCAAGGATCGGTATATTTTAAAAACGCGCTATTTGGAGATGCTTGATGACCCATTCACGATGCGTGGTCGACCAAATCGTTCTCAGTTTTTATTTATATAGTTAACGTGACAACGAACTTGCATTTTTTACGGAAGATCGAAGGCTGGCAATCGACGCAACGGTTTTTCGCAGAACCCTGGAAATCCAGCGGAGCCACGAAATAGCTCGGCTACGGTTTACTTTACCCCCCTGTCGAGGGTCCCAAAATTTTTTGATATTTTCGCGACTTTGTCGGGATTTGTTGGGGCCATTCGATAGAGCATCAAAAACTTTACTAAGAACTTTTATGGCACCTCGAAATTATGTAATATAAAATAGTTATAGCAAAAAATGGGTTAAAAAGCTAGTTTCGATATTTTCTCGATTTTTGCGACATTTTCGATACGCCATTCGATAACGTAAAAATATTAAGAACTTCAAAGTTAGCCAGGAATAATTTATTATAAAATAGTTATAGCAAAAAAAGCTTTAAACACGATTTCCCTAGAGGAACAGAAGGTGCAAAGCTAGTTTTCGACATTTTCGACATTTTTACAAAATCTCTTTAACACCATTCTATAGGGCGTCAAAAAATATACTAAGAGTTTTAATTGCAGCCCAAAATAATGTAAAACAAATTAGCTATATCAAAAACAAGCCAAATCTGGATAACCTGTCAACCACTGTATAAATGATTAAATTTGGCCTTTAAAATTTAAATTCAAAAACATATAAATTGTATAAATTATTATATTGATTTTTTTTGCAATTCTCGGGCCGGGGGTTAGTAGCTGGGCCTAAGGCTACAGATTGGTGGCCTTAAAAAATTTTTTGGTACCTTCCGGCACGGGCACGGAATTGCACAGCGTTAGTCCAGGGCAGGGTTGGTCATTTTCGGATCGGACTGGATCCGGATCTGGATCTGGATCGGATCCGGATCCGGATCCGCCGTAGGATCCGGATCCGGATCCAGATCCAGGGCGGATCCGATCCGATCCGGATCCAAGGAAATGGATCATGCAACCGAGTTAAGTGCTAATTCTTAGATGCAAAGATCAGTTCTGCATCTGGGCTATGTATTTTTGCGATTAACATGACCGAATCAGCATCAGAATCGAGAATATTACTTCCGGTCCCTTTTTTCCTCGGATCCGCATTGGATCCGATTTCGAGCGGATCTCGGGATCTGGATCTGATCCGGATCCTACTGCGGATCCGATCCGGATCCGGATCCAGATCCGATCCGGATCCTTACCGATCCGGGTCCGTCGGTGAACAACCCTGGTCCAGGGTTGCTATGGCGCGCCCCAGCGACAGTACCCCAACCGAGCCTTTTCGGGGTCTCTTCCTCTCATCTTTCAACGCGTAATTGGACACAAAACCCAAGGAAACCGAGAATAGATGAAACATAAAACTAATTGATTGTATGAAGAAAATTTGGGAGGTTTAGATCCTTGATACCGACTGTTTTGCTGCCTTTCATACTCATAAGATTGAAATTTGCACACAATGGCGCAGGTGCCGGGTTATTTTGACGACCATTTTTCTTTTATAGGAGAATGGAGCTAGTCGGGGCCGTAATATCTGCATTATTCACCGTTTTGAGCACAGATTCTTTCATTTAATCGTGAAATCATTTCGTTAATACATAAAATTGATTTCACTGACTTCATTGAACGTTCCAGAAGCCATTATAGTGCAGCATCGCTTGTCTTAGCCTAGTTTCTGATGTTTCTGGGCGTTATCATTCGTTCTTAGCTATTTAACACATGGTTTTTCGAAGGTAGTATGGCTTTTATCATTAAGTTATGTTCAAAGCCTGCTATTGTGGTGTGCTATTAGCTCCAAAACTGTAAACTGTATAAATGAAAAAAGAAGCTGAAGCTTGAAAGTAGAAGCTTACTAGGCGTTTTGCTGAAATTACTTGACTTTTAATTGAAGAACCAGGGTTGAAAAGCCGCTTCGCGACTTTCACCCTGGCCCAAATCTAACCCCATGCTTCCAACCCTGGCCCTAAACCACTTTAGCATTTAAAACTCCTGCATTCCTGTGCAAAAAAAATGAAAAGCGCGTCCTCTCCCCCATTATATAGGCTTCCCCCACTTCCGGTGCATGCTAATTGATTCATAACAAAGAGGCTGAGCGAGATTTTCACAAAAACTTATTTTTAATATCGAAAACAGCTGTTTTTTAAAAATCTCATATGCGTGCAGTCGTGTCATGACCATTACGCACCTAATGACGTATCATACGTAGCTTTAACTTCCTCCCCTATCGAGATACGACTGGAACATACGGACGGAAGTTGCATGCAAATGCACACACACACACACACAAACACTATTTTTTTATATATAGTAGGATAGGCTTAGCTTGGCTTTAATCTGTTTAACTGGCGTACGTGCAGCGGACATTAGCTTTAATATACCGCTCGTCTCAAAAAACAGGTTAGTTGACGAGCTTCGCGTAAAGCCCACATAAGGTGGGTTAAGCAAGGCTTACAATTTGTCATACTTAAGCAGGGCTCAAGCTAGCTTAGCTTTTACATAAACTTACAGCTTAAGCATCGTTTGAGGTTTCTTGCGTTAAAAAATTTGCCTTCCTCGCATCGGAAAACGGCATCGACATCGCTAAAATTCCGACGGAACCAGTGTAGTAATTATTACAAAGTTAATTTACACATCCAAATTATCAAGTTGGAAAGCCGGCTGGATTTGCCTGATGAGCTAGACATTGCTTGGCTACTAAAAACGTTGCTGCTCTACTGTGCTCATGAAGTCAAGATGAAAAGCCTGAAACAAATGCGCAGAATCAGCTAGTATGTCATAAACGCACCAATAAAATAGCGAGAGATTAAGTCTAACTCTTGCTCAAAGCAAAGCCGCCTAACCTTGTAGTCGTTCGCGTAGCTAACCCTGTTGCTATTCAGATAGATCGTCTCATTCAGCTATGGAGCGTCATCTTTTTGGATATAACTGAAACAAGGATCCGTCAATTAAAAGCTGAATGTGAATAATAGTCACAAGTTAATTGCTATACGCACGCGACGTTGTTTTTTTGTGGGCTCTGGCAAAAAAAAGAAAAATGGTCGTCAAAATAACCCGGCACTTGCGCCATTGTGTGCAAATTTCAACCTTATGAGTATGAAAGGCAGCAAAACAGTCAGTATCAAGATCTAAACCTCCCAAATTTTCTTCATACAATCAATTAGTTTTATTTTTTCATCTATTCTCGGTTCACAGCGTTCAGAGCCATACGAAAAAGGTTCGTCGAGCGGGGACAGGATGGAGAGGGGGTCTCGGCACTCTCGCCCTCCCTCTGGCTGTCTGCCCCCACCCCCGCGCGTTTGAATCATAAATGGTGTGTACGAAAGATTAGCCCGGCTGTCTGCTATCGCGCGCCCCACCCCTCCCCTGCCTGTCTGCCCTCGCGTCTGCGCTCTAGAGCGCTCTGCATCCTGTACCCAGGGGGGGCCCTTTTCTGAACCATGTGGGTTTCCTTGGGTTTTGTGTCCAATTACGCGTTGAAAGATGAGAGGAAGAGACCCCGAAAAGGCTCGGCTGGGGTACTGTCGCTGGGGCGCGCCATAGCAACCCTGGACTAACGCTGTGCAATTCCGTGCCCGTCCTTCCGGCTGGGGGTAAAGTAAAATCTTACCTTTTCGGCTTGACCATCCCCAGCACAAACTCTCGGTAGGGTTTAGTTAGATAAACAATTTCGAGCGATCCTATTATCGCATGGCATTCATTAATCAAGAAGAACAGCCTCGGAACCGCTAAATTTTCGTTCGTAATTGTCATAAATATGTGGAAAACATTGCGGAACTTCGATATCATAGGCGATAATCTTGCTGCCAAACCACCAAGGCACCGTTAATAATAGGAAGGGGATGCACAGCTAAAATACAGATGGTATACCATGGCTAAATTAGGGGGGCTCCGTGCACCTGCATCAACATATTGATAATCAACTTTTTCTGCATTTTACGAGTGGCATCGCTCATATAGTCGAGGCGAGAATTCAGAAGGTAAAAGCTGTGGTAGATAAGGCAACCACCCTATAATAGTTCAATTTTTCTGGCCCACGGGCGCGCCCGAACTGGACCCCGTTGCGCCCTTGGGCACAAAAGCGCCAAGCCCGCATTTCAGTCACGGGAAAAGCGCGGGGGCGCAAGCAAAAACGTGGGCGCGCCCTCGGACGCATTTGAATTTGTGAATACCTTTCAATCGCTCGAAGAACGACTAAGTCCAGGAACTTTATAAAGAACTTTAGTTTATTTTTTTATAGCCGCAGTTAATTAATGTTATTATTACTCTTGCTATATTTGGATCTGGTAAGTCTTTATAGTAGAAGTTTTAGTTTATTATCGCTTCTGGAACTCCTATTTTTATCATCTCTTCTGCAAAACTTGGATTTAGGTAATGCACGTAGGTTTAAATCATATGCTAAATAATTTGCGCTTTTAGTAACCTTGGGTGTATAAGAAGGAAGCTTCCGATACTAGGTCCTGCTGTCGAACCGAAAAGGTAAGTGGTAAGTCCGACGGTGAGTCGGTAGCTAACCATTACTTAAATTTTACTAAGGCTACATATAGGAAGATTAAACTTGTTTGGGCCATCTTACAATTTATATTAAACGCTCTGGTAAGTAGTAAAGCATACATTTGGAGAAGGTGAAGGCAGAAGTGGGATGGGCGATGGATCCGGCCGAAAATGTAAGTTACGAAGCAAAAGCAACCCAAAAATACAAATTCAGGTACGCAGACTGTCCGTTTGTTAAGGGAATGTGAAGCCGCAAGTGTACTTCGGGCACTGCATCGCAAAAAGCTATGCAGGACCCTATTTTAAATAATAAAAGCATTATAAGAACCCATTCTATACTGCACGGCAAGGAAAAGGGCGCGCCCGCGGGCGCTTTCCGGGTTTGGGGCGCGCCCTCGGGCGCTTTCTCGATTGCGCCCGCGGGCGCGCCAGCCAATTTAAAAATAAACTAAAGCCTGCGCAGGCGCGCGCTTTCGCGCAATTTCGGGCGCGCCCGAGGGCGCTTTACTAACCGAGTAGCCCGCTAACCCCTTTTGGTTTGAGGTACCCCCCATACGACTCTTTTGGGGTTCTTTTCCGGATTTAAAAGAGAACCAAGCATCGGATCGCAAAACTGATTACACCACCGGAACCGGCGACACTTTTTGCATACCATAAGCTTTTAAAATTTCAAAAATAGTTAAATTTCGAATTTTAACAGCCGATTTAAGTTGCGTTTCGAGGGGGGTCTGCGTTTGTCTAATTTCGAAAACATGGCCAAAATGAGTACAGCGTTTTCCAAAAATCGGTTTTTTAGCGATAACTTTTGGTTTTACAAAATTTTGCTTAGAAATTTGGATGCACATAGCTTTATGGGTCTCCATCGCTGGTAAAAATTTGGTCACGATCGGATGGTAGACGGTGAAATGCCGGAGGCGTGCTTTTTTTGGGACACGCAGTATATAAGCCCCTCGCCCAGGTAAAAAATTAGTATTTTTCTGTTCTGTTTATGTCTTGACTTATGGTAGAGAAAGTACGCTATTTAAAGTGACAAAAAGCCGACGGAATTGTTCAGAATTAATCAATTCTGTCTACAATTTTCAGTATTTCGGTCTCTCAAATAAAGAAGCCTTCCTTCTATTGGAGCCAGGGCCGTAACAAACCCAAATTTCGGGGGGGAGCGACGCCAAAAATTTTTTATTAATATGACTAAAACTGCAGCGCCGCAGGCAAAATTTTTGAAAACATAGGGTTTATAACACTAAAACTAGTGTTAAAAATAGCCAAAAACAGCGCCGCAGGGCAAAAATTTTTTGGAAAATTTAAATCATAAGGCCCTTATGAACTTTTCGGCCTGCGGCCGATTTCGGGGCTCGCCCGCTCCCCTTACGGGCCTGATTGGAGCCCCTTTCATGGTGATTGAAAAAAAAATGAAATGTGGCTTACCGACGACAAGAAGCTGATGCACATGTAAGCTGTGGCCAAGGAAAAGGCTACCAATGGGGCGATGATGTATTCAACAGTTGTATCCAGGATCCACAGATCAGGGACATCGAGCAAGAAGCGATAATTTGGATGGCTCTAAATCCAGCCATCATAGTTTATTGTTGCCTATTCAGCTATTGAAAAAAAAACGCTGTACGAAAAATCCATCGGTTCTCAAGATTTTTATGTCGACATTTTGTCGACAATTTTTGGTCGGCCAGGTTTCTATGACAAAGAAAAGGTCCAATTTCGGACCAACGACGTAACGTTTCAAATTTCAAAATTTCGGTTATTGCATAGTAAAATGCGGCCGCTGTCAGGGGGGCCACCCTCGAAATTTTTTTCTAGCGTTCCTAGACCGTATACTGGAATGAGTTTTGCGCAATACCTCTAGAATCCGTTGCATGCCGGCTCCCATTTTGTCATGCGTAAACGCCATCATATAGATGACGGCGGATATCCCACCGGTGCATAACGTGTATTGGCATACGAGCACGACACCCCATAACCAGGCGGGCAACCGGAATTGGGAGATGCGGTTGATTTTACCCCTTCCCCCCAGGGCTCCCCGACACTTGCGGCGCGACACCTTGCGGCGCGACACTTGCGGCCGACACTTGCGGTCAAGAAAGTTCTATCTGTTTGCTAATTTTCAGCCAATTCTCAATCCAGGTTTATTCGGGCTCCGCTAGTAAAATAACTCTTTAACGGGGGCAGTTCCGAAAAAAAACTAATATTAAGCTTCCCTATGGTATAATCTTTTTAGTTTAAAAATCAAAAGCTCAGCCCCTGTAAGCACATTCACCTGGCCCAATGTCCCATGGGCAGCAATTGTCGATGCCGATAGATGAAACAAAATGACACCCCAACAATCATCAACAACATGAGCGCGGTACCGAAGCTCTAATAAGGAGTGCTTTCTTCGAGTCATCCGGGGGAACGGCTCGAAAGATAGCTCATTCTATAGAGAATTCAATTCTGAACAAGATTCACTTGTTCATTTTTGCAAAACGACAAGCGCTGGTTTTATAAAATTAAAAAACTAAAAACGAGATTTGGGAGCATGGCCCGACGCACCCCCGGGCAGCTCCGCCCCGGGGACAAGAGTGACCCTATGCCCTCCACACCGCCATCCGTGACAGCGCAGCGGCTAACACCGTTGCCTATGGCACTTTTTTGCAACCGTTTCGAAGGTTCGGTTCCGCTCCGACCGATTTCTTTTGCTTTTTGCGAAATGTTGGCCTTGATGCGGCTCCTGGTCCCTTTGGACTAGTAACTAGCTTTGCCTGGCCAGAGAACTGCACAACAACGGACCAAAGTAATTTTGACTTTGCAAAGATCCTTCAAGGGGCTCCGAACTGCCAAATCAAAGCCCTTTTGGGCGACCTCTTTGATTTCTGGCAAATTCTCAGCGGCCGCTGCGGGACGAGAGCCCTCCTCTTTCGATTTTTGCGCGAAACGGTTTTCGCCCGGTTTCTTTGTGAAAACACTATAATTCGCGCATTCTGAGACCATTTTTGAAATCCTCACCCAATTTTAAATAGCTTTGGTGTTTTAATAATTAAATTTGGCCCAGAAACAGCCGAGAACGTGATCAGGAGGTGACAACAGGCCATTTCAAATTTGGGAGCTTCCCGCGCCCCTAGGTGTACAGAGGCCTCCGACGTACAGGGCTCCGATTTTCGGGGCGTCACTCATTTTTGGCATTTCATAGCCCCTTTAAACAGCCAAAACCACAAGAAGCAATGTGAGACCGAGCGTAAAGTTCGTAGGACATTGTAAACTAATATTTAGTTAAAAAGCAAAAGAAATCGATCCGAGCGGAACCGAACCTTCCAACCGGTAGCAAAAAAATTTTCATAGACAACGCCGCTAGCCACTGCGCTGTCACGGAAGGTGGCGGTGAGGGCGGAGGATCGCTCTTGTCTCCGGGCGAATTTGCCAGGGGTTGGGCCGGTGCCATGCTCCCAAATCTCATTTTTAGTTTTTTTAATTTTATAAAATCAAGAGTTTGCCATTGTGCACAAATGAACAAGTGAATCTTGTTCAGAATGGAATTCTCTATAGAATGAGCTATATCTCGGACCGTTTCCCGGATGGCTCGAAAAAGCACGATGCCGAATCCATTTTGCATAACTTGCATTGCTCACGATTAGGAATTTAAACCCCAGTGGGGCTAGCACTCCGTTGAATCGAATGCAGGGCGTGGGGGATGAAAAGTCATTCATAAGAAGGTGGGCCCAAAGCCCGAAAACCGCCGAGGACAGCTGTAAGATTTTTTACAGGGTGGTCCAAAAAAAGAGTGAATTTTGCGCTGAATTATCTCGCGAACGGAAACGAATCGGGCCATGGTTACCTTGCCAGAATGCTTAAATATCCTGGGCATAAAGAAATAACACAAGTTGTTTTTCGAAGATTTTTGTCGACCCGTTTATCGTTAAAAGTTTTGAACATTTTTGAAAAAGTACAAAACTTTGAAGACGGAAATCATGGAACTTTTATGGGTTAGGGGGACATGTGGGGTATCGAAATGAAGCTCTTCTTGACATGCGCTATCCATACTGTTATCTATGTATTGCTAACTGCAAAATATCAGAAAGATCGGATGGCACGAGAATTTTATCTCGAATTTTTTCGCCAAAAAGCCCGGATTTTCCGAAGGCCCCTATTGACGGCTAGTTAAACCGATCAATATTCTTTTCCACCGGTTTGATAGCGCATTCCGAGAGCTTCATTTTGATAACCTTCTTGTCCCCCTAACTAATCAAAAGTTCCATACTTTATCGCCTCAAAGTTTTCTACTTTTTCAAAAATGTTCAAAACTTTTTAAATCATAAAAATCGTCAAAAATCTTAAAAAAACTGCTTGTGTTATTCTTTTCATGCCCAGCATATTTCGCATTTTGGCAAGGTAACGATGGTCCAATTCGTTTCCGTTCACGAGATATTTCCAGCGCAAACTTTGCTTTTTTTCTGCACCACCCTGTATGAATTTTGACATTAGGGCAGCAAATCATCATTGAGAATTGGTGAAAAACCTGATAGAAGAGCAGCAATCTTGAGTACTCCTTCATCGACGGGGTGCTTGCGTGCACAATCAGGGCAGCCGTCCCGAAATTCACGACGACGCCGATCATGGCCATTCCGGTATAAACGGCCTTGTAAAACGTCGGATCTTCATAGGTCCAATTTGTCATTTGCGGAACGGTCGTGGTAAGACTGCGATGGGGGCCCGGGCAGGGTCTTTTCGCAGAGACTGTTTGTACTTGCCGCAGGTGAAAGTGGGCTTGGCAGCGGGTTTAGCACGTAGCCAATGTCACAGCTGAACAGCATCAATATTCGCCAATTAAACACCGTCAGAATCAAGATAAATTGACCGGTGGTACTCATAGGATGGCGGGGGGGGGGGGGAATCAGTAACGGGGGGCACTCATTATTATGAAATTTGCAATTGCGGGATTTTGCGAGTGCCATTCGATAGAGCGTCGAAAATATACTCAGAGAATTCAGCCCAAAATAATGTAAAGGAAATTTTTTATCGAATAAACAAAAATTGATTAAAATCCATGGGCAGCACATAGGAGTGTGAGAGTGAGTGAGAGAGGAAGATGAAGCGAGAGAGAGAGTGCGAGAGAGAGAGAGAGAAAGATTGAGAGAGAGACGGCTGGTAAGTTTTCTCAAAACGAGATTTTCTTTAAATCTTAGGATGCCAGTCGTTTTCGCTTTTTTTGGACTTTCCTGTGGCCTTGGCCCAGCAAATCAAAGCAACTTCCGTGTTTATCCATTGATAAAACAACTGGGGGCTTATAAACACCCTCCGACCGGTCTCTGGCTACACTTCTCACTACGTGCTGAACATGTTGGCCGGCTTGAGTCTAGTGGCCCTCGTGGCGACTACCGTAACCGGTTTTGTGCCGATCCGTGAGTTTTGTACAAATCGATACTATCGACTTGCTAACCAATTTAGCCTACGAAAACTGGATCCAAAAAGACATTGCCAATCCTCCGGGTCAGAAAATTTCGCTGAAGCTTGTGGTAGGGTAGCTGTAAAGGGTAGTATTACGGAATTTTCCAGAAAGACGCCGCTCTGATCGAAAAGTGGAATGGGACTGTGGCACATGAAATCACCGGAAATGCTAACGTAATCCGGTCAAATCCAGGAAGATTATTTTGATTTTAGGACCTGAAAGCAACCCCAAACAAAATGAATGGAGTCCACATTATTCTCGAGATCCCAGCGATGGAAGTCGGCAAAAATTATGATAACGTGTTGAACGTTACGCACAACACGTTCCCGTGCCAGAATGGTGATGTTTCTAAATGGTCTTTTACGATGCCCAAACGTAAAGCTGTTACAAATTGTTTAAAAAACCTCAAAAAATCCATTTTTTCGACCAAAATTTCGACTCTTTTCAATTTGGCTCGTTTTCCTGATTCCGGGTTTTGAATCTCGTTTTTCTGACCAGAAACCAGTAAGCCGGCTGAACCATGGCTGACAAATTTACTAAAAATGTTGGTTTAGGTTAATCGGCAACAAGGACAAGAAGTTCGAGTTCATTCTCCCGAGGCAGGCTGTCGGCTTCATGTAAACTAATCGTATTTTTGGATTTATATCTTATTCGTAACCCGTACGTACATATTTTTGTATGTATTTTAATGTACAAACGTAATTTTAAGTACGTACGTACGTAGAAATACGACTTCCCAAATCTAGATACACAAAAGACGCGCCCGAATTCACCGCCATTATCAAGAGCGTACCGCTCCAGCAGGGACGCGGCAAGTTTAGGGTATTTTCTGTTCAAAATTCAGTGCATATTTAGTTCAGTCCATTATTCAGATTATCTCGCTCCGCCGTCTAAGTTGCTGAAAGGAGCTTGGAAGTATGAAGCGACGTATCCAAAGGTAGTCTCTCTCGCTTTTTCTCGCTTTCTTGCCCTCTCTCTCTCTCTCTCTCTCTCCATCTTTGTCTCTTACTCTCTCGCCCCCTCGCTTTCCTTATCTCTCTTTCTTTCTCTCTCTTCCACTCTCTCCTCTTTCCAGAACACCGACGGCTTCAGCTACATCTGGAGTCAGCATTTCTCAGCATGGAAATCGGGTTGGATTTGGATTGGATTGGATTGGATGACGGAGATCAATTCTACTTGAGGAATGTGGAGACGCAGGAGAAGATTAGGTATGATTTTCGAAAAACTGCAATCTCCTCAGAACTCCGTTCAAATTGCCTTGTTTAGCCTGAATCTCGACCCATCAAAGAACATCACCGTCGACTTCCCGCCAAACAAAGAATATCAGCTGTACTTTGTGGGTGCGAAGAACCCGAATAGAGAACGAGAAATCAAATTTATCGCGTACTTTGAATAAGATAAATAAGTTTGCCGCGATTTTATATGTGCACGTAAAGGGAGAGAGAGAGGGAGAGAGAGAGAGAGAGAGACAGAGAGAGAGAGAGAGAAAGAAAGATAGATTTTGGCCTTTTTAACTTACATTTTATCGAAATTCTGGAAACGCGATCCAAACAAAGAGGGTATACTTCCCCGAGAAGCGGATAATTGGAAATTTCGTACACGGAACAACCCTAAAATCGTGCCTTGATCTTGCTCAGCTTTTTTCTCGATCGAACTAGCTAGGTCCGGCCCCGACCCGAAATGCCGAAATCACCTACAAACGACCGCTCGTTAATAGATAAGCGGCACCGACCAAAGCGGTTTTAGGATATTCCACTTTGCCCATCGAATTTTAGGGACATTCCCTGATAAGGGAAGTGTTTTACGCTTCATATAAAAGCCTTGACCCGCCATGGTTCCCTGCGATATTATCTGCCAGGATGCCCGCGCGACCTGAAACCGATGCCGGTTATGAGTTTGTGTGCATGTATTCCATTTTCAATAATATTGTTGATTCGTCTTATTATATCATAATTAGAGATATTCCCCGGGCCAGCAACGTTAAGCGGGGGGATGCGTTGTCTAGCAGTTTGATGGGCTTAAACCTTCACGAGGAAGCTGAACGACTACTCCAGAAAGACTTCACCTCGGAGCCCTATATTGCACATCATATGGACCGCTTCTTGGATCTAATTGCGAACGACCCAAATGGCGATCAGTTTTTGTCGCAGTACGGACACCTTCCATTCATTGAATCTGCTGGCCCACGCAGCTGGCGAACCTGTTACTATGCCGGTTACGATATTGGCGAATACAAGCAAGCCAAATCTCAACATCCCAGTGGCATGACGCTGTTCAGGTGTGTCAGCACTAAAAAGAAGGGCCAACAGGACGTCGATATGGTACGTTTTGGGCTAGTGACCGAAGTGCTTTCGTCGCTTACGATCTTTGACGAAAATGGGAATGAACAACCCCATCACATCGGTTGCCTTGACTTCTACGTGATCAAGACCTGGATTGGCGATTTGGAAGTGCTGCTCTGTGTCCAGGGTGATGGGTTTGTTCGCTCTGACGACGGTCGCCATCAGATTGTCGAGCTGAAGTGCTGTAAGCACAAAAAGAAGCCGCAGCCCGGGAAAACTAACAAAACAAAACTACGCAATAAATGGGCTGGTTACGACTGGAGTTTTCTGACACTGACGATCGTCTCCCATCGGAAAGGAATCGTTACAGAAGTTGATGAGGAATATCTAGAGAAGGCCTCCGCAGATTCTGCAAAAGGCAAGCAGCAGGAAGCTGATCAAATTTATGCTAATTACATCAGGCTCAAAATGCTCTAATTGATTCAATATTATTAATTTTGCTATACATTATGATCTATAATGATGAAGATAAATAGAAGATGATTTCAAAGGCCACGAAAGCCACCGATACAAAGTCGATGGTCTCTTGGTAAACCTTGGTTGTCAGCGAGATTACAACTTTCGGCGTTTTTGATGAGACGTGTGTGAGTGGGTGATCGGTGAGACCTAAGCGCTGTTGCCATTGGTAGAAAGAACGAAACCAGTGACGCTGGCAATTCGGGCCCGAGAATCTCGACAATCGGTGTGTTGGATTTTCTCTTTTTCTTCTCATTGCTCGCCTTACTCTTTCCCCCGAATCGGCATTCGGTGGGCGTCCTGGCAGATTTTATCTCCACCAATCCAGCTGGGCGGTTTGGAGTCTGTAAATTTTAGCAAGACAAAAAAGGGGGGTGGCTCTCTCCTCCAAGTGGTCCCCCTGGATAAGCTGATTGGCTAAGGTTGTGACGGCCCGGTTTTCGTGGAAGGTTTCAAATTCTGTGATATACTTTTTTCTTTTGCCTGCAACCTTCCGGTCCAGGTCTTCACATAAAGTGCCGATCGGCGGAACTGAAAAAGAGCGTTTTTGTGATTATTGAACTATTCTTTCGAATCAATATTTAATTTTTCAATTTTTTTTTGTTTTCCATAATAATATTTTATACAATTTTTAACAATCGAGCGGTGTTGGTGCGGTGCGGCAATTGAGGCCGACGTCTAGGAGAACTGTAAGTTTGCTTTTACGAATTATTTTATTTTTTTTCCATCTTAGCAAATATAGAGTGTCCCAAAAAAAAATCGATCCTGTCTAGCGTTTCCGAGAAAATTCAGATCGGGACGAGTTTTACACCATTCGAGAGCCCTTCAAATGGCGAGAAAACAAGCGCTTTTCGTTTTACAAAATTTTTTTTAGCCCGCACCCGATATTCCACCATTTCTTAAAAAGCGTAAAATCAGCCTCGTCCTGTTTTCAAGCAATTTACATGGGATTTTGCATAGAATCTGCTGTTTTCATGGATTTTGGTCCTGAATTTGGGGTCAGCTACGCCCCTGGTATAATAGAGCGGGGCTTATTAGAGGAAATACGGTATGTAATGTGAGGAATAGCATGGGACACGGCGCCAAGGTTGATAAGTCTTGAAGTGGCTTTTTGGCCCCAGTCTTACGCTAATTAACCCTGACTTACAAACGGTAGATTCTGGCACGACTTCCAATTTTTTTGTAGGTCTCCGACCCCGGCTGAGACGGCATGTCTGCTACACCACGAAAAACTATCGTTATTTTTTGCGCTGCAATAAAGCACGTAATAAATTTTTTATTGTATCAGACTTCAAAGGTATAAACAAATGACAACTAACGAGAATTTGCGTGGGGAGGCACGGGAATAGAGAGAGAGAGAGAGAGAGAGACCCCAACGAATCAAAACTGGGTTTTTTTTGGTGGGCGTGACCTAAACTGCGAGAGCAACTTCCGTGTTTATCCATTGATAAAACAATTTGGGCTTATAAACAGCCACCGACCGTTCTTTGCAACAATTTCCGCCTAAACGTGCTGGACATGTTGGCCGGCTTGAGCATATTCGCCCTCCTGGCCGCTACCGTATCCGAAGAATGGGAGTTCATCCGTGAGTTTGTGCTTGCCATCTACTTCCAATCCATTTAGCATACCAAAACTATATCCAAAAAGACATTGCCAACCCTCCAGGGCAGAAAATATCGCTGAAGCTCGTGGTACGGTCATTATGAAGGGCGTACCTAAAAAAGAACCTCTTCTAGCGGTCCGCAGTGATGTCGGATTTTTACGATTTACGTATCTATCAAAAGCTCTCGACGAGCCGCAGAGAGATCTTCTCTTGATTTTTGAAATTCCAAAATTTTCTTACGGTTCCTCATATTTTTGCGAAATCAACCGAATTTTTAATGCTTCTCCGATCATTTCTTACAAACCACAATTTAGAAATTTCCACGCTTTTCCTGGCAACTCAAGGCAAACACTTTTGAGTCGTACTGAGCAAAAATTTGAAAAAAAAACACAGTGCCGATGGTGCCGAAGCCGATTAAATTGAGTTTTTGAACATATATCCTCTTTCTACTCCTAGCTTTCAATTGATATCTCAATCGTAAACATCGGACCTGACTGCTGACCGCTAGAGCCTTTTCTTTGAGACAGTCATACCGTGATCGGAAATCACACGGTAATCCGGTGAAAAACCCCCGATTTTTCGTTCTTCAAGTGAAGAAGTTTGCAATATCGGCGGAGAGGGATCATTTTTTGGAAGGGTCAAATTTTTCTAATCTAAATAGAGAAAATGTTTATAAACCGTTTTTGCTATTCCTTAACGTGAAAATGGACGAATTTTTATGAAAAAATACCAAAGTATAGAGATTTTTTAACCAAAATAGATTTTAGATGGTTTTTCAGTGCTGGAAAATTAGCGGGAAAAATTGAATATTCGTATATTGTGACCTTTCGGCCATTTTTCATGAAAAAAGTATGAATTTCAATTTAATTAATTTAAATTTAAATTTAATAATAATTTAATTCTAACTCTAAAAGATGCTATAAAAAGTTTGCATATATTCAGTTAGTGGGCCCCACTAGAAGTATTTAAATCTTAAATCTTTGAATTCTGAAACATTGCGTATTTTTAGGACTTTAACTCTACGCCAAACAAATGGCATGGTATGCACATCCTTATCGAGATCCCATCGATGGAGGTCGGCAAAAATTATGACGACCTGCTGAACGTGACTTGGGATGTGGACCAATACTTGAAGCTTGTTGAGTAAGCCGACGCTTCTCGATTGAACCCCAAAAAAACGAACTAAACCAAACTAAACCAAAGAACGTCACCATCAACTTTCCACCAGATCAGGACTGTGATCTGTACTTTGTGGGGACGAAGAATCCGAATCGGGAACGAAAACTCCACTATGTCGCCTATTACTAATAAAATAAATATCTTTTTTCTGTTATTTTATATATGCATAAAAAGAACCATTGTTTAGCATTCTCCCTCTCTCTTTCTCTCTCTCTCTTTCTCTCTCTCACTTTATCTCTTGCTCTCTCGCTCTCTTTAGCTCCTTATCTCTTTCTCTCTCTCGGTCTCTCTTTCTCTCTCGGTCTCTCTTTCTCTCTCGCTCTCTCTTTCACTCTCGCTCTCTCTCTCTCCCATTTTTATCTCCCCCATCAACCGCCCCTTCGCGCCAACGCGGAAAGATGTCATGCTCGGCTCCCGCTGCGTATTTGCATAGCTTTGGAGGCCGAGCTCTGGCTCCCCCGAATCGATAGTCATAAACCCCGTTCTACCGCCCTCCCACCTCACCCGCCCGAATCTACCCGTCCTACGATTATCAGTTTTTTCCTAACTGCGATCCCGCGCACCTGCATTATTTCAAACTCAAACTATTTTTTATTCCGTACCGATACGCCACCTACGATCAAGGGAGAGCAGCAGAAATAGATTGGGTTCGTTGGAAAGTCTTGATAATGTCTAATGTGGCGTAAAATGCCTTAAAATCGGAAAATTCTTTGGGTTTACGTTCTTGCCCTATTGTTTCCGCAGAATCCAGCTAATTTAAATTAATTTGTTTAAGCAGCACATTTAAAAACGTTAGTGAACGGCCTCTGCATATAATTAACGGCTACTTCCGGTCATTTTGCTTGGAGAAATTGAGGGCAATTACGTTATATGCGACCCCGAAGGACCGCAAAATTTTACAAAATGACTTGCAGAATAGCGGGTCTATATTATATTATAAAAACATGGTTATGAGTATTGGGTGCTTCCGGGTTATCGGGGGTCGGTTATTTTAGCGGGGGTCGGTTGCGAACTTTTTTCTATAATATCGTGCGGCTCGGCTAATTAAGAACTGGCCGTTTTTATAGACTTGTGTGCCGTTTGAAATGGTTTTGGACTGAAAGCGGGGGAGGAGACATTAAGAAAAACGTCATAAAACATGTTGAAAAAATTTTGTTTTTTGGTATAACGTATATGAAAATGGCTAAAACCGCGCTATAACCCTAGATTTCGTGACTATAGGATAAATATTTTTATAATTTTTGATTATCGGAAGCTACTAAAAACAGTATTAAAATAACCTACAATTTATCACTAGGCAGGTATAGGCTAAACAAAAAGAAGATGCCAACCGACCCCCGCTAAAATAACCGACCCCGATAACCCGGAAGCACCGAGTATTGTTGCAAACTGGCCGTTTCAAGGGTTTTCGAATGGTGTGACTATCGTTCCGTTCCGATACTTCTGCGTCAAGTTAGAGGGGGGTGTTTTGCTTCTCGGTGCTGTTTAGCGGCGTGCCTTTTGTTTTGATCACAAAGACTCGGTCTCTGATCATGCAAATTTTGACTTCCTAGTCCCTTTAGGGACTTACGATCATATTTTTTTATCTAAATATTTATTTACTGAATTTAGGCCCAAAGGGACACTGGAAGGCTGTGGCTGTGAGCATCACCTTGAAACCAGGCAGCTGCGTGAGTCCCAAAAGCCCCAAACACTTTTCTTGGAAATTCGTGAAAAAAAAATAAAAAGCCATTGTATGGAACAATAGACCCTTTGTATTAACGATATGCCACTGCCTTTCTATAACCTTGAAACTACTGACAACTAAACACTAAGGAACTACCCGGGCCAGATATTGGTCGCCCATACCAGTTTAAATCATCTTTTTTATAAAAGTAAATATAATTATAAAAATGACATAAATGACAATATACTTGTAGTCACTGCTTAGCCCTTAGACGGCTATAAGAAAAGATCTGAGCTTTTTTGTGTTTTTAAGAAAATTAGGTGGCATTTTTTCTATTACCATAAAATAAGCGAAAAGGAACATTAGTAGTCATTTTTTTAGCTTTTAGCTCTCTTAAGAAACTTAATCCTTATGTTTTGTCAGTCAGCAAATGACATTTTTTTCTATTTCCATAAGTTGAGATGAAAGGGGATAGTATTGTAGTCATTTTATAGCCGCTAGAAGGCTATA